GGAAGGTTTGAAAACTGGACCTGGATGAGATCATGGTTTCCTTTGATGTGACTTCCCTCTTCCCAAGGAAGTCCAGTTGCCTCTTGAAAAGGCACCTTTGGGACAACCATGACCTGGATGACAGAATCTCCATAGACAAATAGGAATAAGGTGACATCTACTATGGTTTTCCATCAGAGTTGGAATATTACATGTAGCTTGTTGAAAAACCTATCCAGTTCCATCCAATATAGATCACCCCTTCACTCATTCTGAATTCCTTCTTCTTCAGCTTGGTCACCAAGCATTTGCCCCAAGCATGTGTTGGGTAAGAGGTTAGTTGTAAGTTCAACCTAAGAAAGGTTCCTTAGAAGAGATGCAAACTTTGTCAAGGGTTGCCAAACAATCATCTCTCAACCAGAGAGTCCTCAGCTGTGAATTGAGAAAGTGTGAGAAGTCACTTGCGCAATGTTCCCAGGGAGTGCGCATGGCTTACACATCATCTAATTCCATTAGAACTAGACATGCACAAAGTCATAACCCCACACTGATTATCAAATAATTTGGACACAAGATAGAATTTTGTTTATATATTTATTTATTCATTAAATTTAAGACCCTCGAAAGAGTGCAGAGAAGAGCAGCAAAGATGATAAAACAACCAAATCATACAATGAACAGTTGAGGGAATTAAATGTGTTGAGTCTATTGACAAGAAGAACTAAGGGTGACATGATATCAATCTTCCAATACTTGAGGGGCTCTTCCAGAGAAGATGCGGGGGGGGGGGAATCAAGCTGTTCTCCAAAGCACCCGAGGGCAGGACAAGAAGTAACGGATGGAAGATCATTAAAGAGAAATCCAACCTAGAACCACAGAGAAATTTCCTGAAAGTGAGAACAATAAATCAGTGGATCAGCCTGTTTTCAGAAGTTGTGGGTACTTCATCTCTGCAGGTTTTCAAGAAGAGATTTGGACGGCCATTTGTCCGGAATGGTGTAGACCTGTGATGGTGAACGTATGGCACATAACCCAAAGGTGGCATGCAATGCCCTCTCTGTGGGCACGCGAGCCGTCGCCCTAGCTCAGCTCTGCCTTGCATGCGCGTATACCTCCCACCAGCCAGCTGGTCTTCAGGTCTCTGCCATGCATGCGTGGGAGCGGGGCACATGTGGAGTGGCTGCACACGCATGCTGGGGGTGGGGCACATGCGGAGGACACGTGTGCATGTGCGGGGCGCATGCTGGGGGCACTCGGTCCGGAAAAGGTTAGCCATCACTGATGTAGGCTCTTCATGCTGGCTCAGGAATTCTGGGAGTTGAAGTCCACAAGTCATAAAGGGGGCCATAGTTTACAGGGTTGTCTTTTCAATTCTTATTTTATACTGCACAAAATGGAGTATCTTGCAGAATATGATATAGAAAGTTACGAATGGCCTGATGGCAATACGACTGAAGCTCTGTCTTTTTCATAGGTCCATTGCACAGGTGACACAAGTTAAAAAAAAACAACAGTCATCGATTGCACTGTCTGACTGCTAGTTTGATTTTTTAATATGACATCCTGCAGCAAACCCGGCTACATCATTTAGGAAGTTTGGCATCTCGTCCATTTTGTCCTATTGAGGTTTTTCCTTCTGGATTTTTCTATCTATCTATCTATCTATCTATCTATCTATCTATCTATCTATCTACTATCTATCTATCTATCTATCTATCTATCTATCTATCTCTATATCTACTGTATATCTATATCTATCTATCTATATATCTATCTATCTATCTATCTATCTATCTATCTATCTATCTATCTATCTATCTATCTATCTATCTATCTATCTATCTATCTATAAATCTACTGTATATATCTATATCTATCTATCTATCTATCTATCTATCTGTCTGTCTATCTATCTATCTATCTATCTCTATATCTACTGTATATCTATATCTATCTATCTATCTATCTATCTCTATCTCTACTCTATCTATCTATCTATCTATCTATCTATCTATCTATCTATCTATCTATCTATCTATCTCTATATCTACTGTATATCTATATCTATATCTATCTATATCTATCTATCTATCTATCTCTATCTATCTATCTATCTATCTATCTATCTATCTATCTATCTACTGCTTCCTTAGTGCTGACGCCAATGGCATTCATTTTGAACAACTCAAGTATGACACATTGAAAGAGCTGAGGAAGCTTTTACTGAAAGTGTGAGTTGTTGGCTGTCATGCTCCATTAGACAGGTTGCTCAGTGAGTGACACGCTGGATGTCGTGCTGAGCTGGTCTTCATTTCAAGGAAGGGTGCAAGGAACAGTTTCTACCGAGGGCTTATTACAGGAAGTCCTTGATTTACAGCCATTCATTTTGCGACCGTTCAAAGTTACAACGGCACCGAAAAAGTGACTTATGGCATGTTCCCGCGATCAGAACCATTGGGATCAAAATTCAGGGGCTTGACAACACATGTGTATTTACGATGATTTCAGGAATCTAGAGTTACATGATTGCCAGTTGTGACTTTCCCAGCTGGCTTCCAACAAGCAGAGTCAATGGGGAAAGGCGGATTTGTTTAATGACCGGATGATTCACTTAACATCTGCAGTGATTTGCATAATCACCAGTGCAAACACGATCATAAAATCTGGTGTGGTGTGGTTTACTTAAAAACCACTTTGCTTAGCAATGAAGCTCCCAATTGTGGCCACAAATCGAGGACTACCCATATATCGGCTGCCAAACAGGCAAAATGAAAATACAATATTGTAGGTTGTCTTTTTACATTTCTCAAATCTCTGAGCTTCAGACCAACTGCATGAGCTTGCAGACAGTCCTATCTCCAGAAAAATATAAACAAAACCCTTATGTTTGGTGAAGTGGCGAATAGATCACCAGTTCTAGTTCACTGTGTCAAGTGGAATTGAAGGGAACGAGGCTGAGCTACACAGGTCTATGACAACTTGCCATGACTATCTCACCACAGCCAACTTGCCACAGGTCAAGAATTATAACAACAACAATAATAATAATAAGTCACGATATTTCGTGATTTTTTCCAGTTCTTTTTCTTTGACTCTGGCATTGCTGTACCTGGAGACGGCAGAGTTGAAGAAAAAGAACTGGAAGAAAAATCACGAAATATCGCGACCTGGCCATTGAAACTACACGATTATGGATGAAACATGTAACAGTGATACCCATTTGTCATTGGGGCACTTGGTATCATGTCCAAGAATTTTATAAGATACATCAACAAATTGCAGCTTCCTGCAATAACACCAGCGGAACTGCAAAAAACTGCGCTACTTGGAACAACGTACATCTTAAGAAGGTACTAGGTTGATACCTAGGATGCTGGCAGCAACCTGTATCAACCATTAGAATAGAACAGAACAGGACAGGACAGGATAGAATAGAATAGAATTTTTTATTGGCCAAGTGTGATTGGACACACAAGGAATTTGTCTTGGTGCATACGCTCTCAGTGTACATAAAAGAAAAGATTCGTTCATCAAGAATCATAAGGTACAACACTTAATGATAGTCATAGGGTATAAATCCTATTAGCACCAGTCAATGGTATTTGTGATGCATTTTTGAATGCTCAGTTGACTGAGTTTCACGTTCGATGATGGTGATGATAATAGTCAAATAGAATCATTAAAGGAAGCACGCCAAAAGAGGGACCAAACAAAATGTGAACGACAAAAAGTAAATCTTTTTAAATCGTTTGAAATAATTAAATTGAACTGCTGAATTGTCCTCCAGCGAGTTTTTCCTGTGGCAAAGTCAGCTACAGGCAAATTGCCCAGCGGCAAGTTGGCTGAATCCAGCTGTCCCATTCCGGAGCTACACTTCCCAAAGCACCTGAAGGCCAGACAAGGAATAATGGATGGAAACTGACCAAGGAGAGATTCAACCTGGAAATAAGGAGAAATTTCCTGACAGTGAGAACAATCAACCAATGGAACAGAAGTTGCCTTCAGAAGTTGTGGGAGCTTCATCTCTGGAGGCTTTCAAGAAGAGACTGGACTGCCATCTGTCAGGAATGGTATAGGGTCTCCTGCTTGAGCGCGGGTGGGGTAGACTATATGACCTACAAGGTCCCTTCCAACTCTGTTAATCTGTTACTATATGTTACTTCCAGTGTCTCGCCCCTGGGGGGAAAAAAGCGGGGCGCATCGATGGGTTTGAGGCCTGGCAACTGGGACCTTCACCCAGGGCTGAAATCCAGCAGGTCCTGACAGGTTCTGGAGAACCGGTAGCGGAAATTTTGAGTAGTTCGGAGAACCAGCAAATACCACCTCTGGTTGGCCCCAGGGAGGGGTGGGAATGGGGATTTTGCAGTATCCTTTCCCCTGGAGTGAGGTGGGAATGGAGATTTTGCAGTATGCTTCCCCTGGAGTGGGGAGAGAATGGGGATTTTGCAGTATCCTTCCCCTGGAGTGGGGTGGGAATGGGGATTTTGCAGTATCCTTCCCCTGGAGTGGGGTGGGAATGTGGATTTTGCAATATCCTTACCCCAGGAGTGGGAAGGGAATGGGGATTTTGCAGTATCCTTCCCCTGGAGTACGGTGGGAATGGGGATTTTGCAATATCCTTCGCCTGCCACCCCCACCAAGCCCCGCCCCGCCTACCAAGCTCCGCCCACAGAACCGGTAGTAAAAAAAATTGGATTTCACCCCTGCCTTCATCCCCCCACCACCACCTCTGGCTCCCTCCCCACTTCCACGCTCCATCTCGGTCTCTGAGGAGCGCACAGAGAGAGAGAGAGAGAGAGAGAGAGAGAGAGAGAGAGAGAGAGAGAGAGAGAGAGAGTGCGCGCGCGCCCTCGCCCGCCCGCTTCTCTCCGCTCGCTCCCGCGGCTTCTGAATGGAGCCGAAGCCGCCAATGAGCCGGCGGGCTGGCACCCCGCGGCCCCGCCCACTTCCCTTTGCGTCACGGGGCACTTCGGATGCGCTCCCAGGAGTTTGGCAGAAGCGCCGGCAGACGGTGAGGGCGGCTGGGCGCGCACGGAGCTGCTGTCGGCGGCGGGGGGGGGCTCCAGGAAGGGATGCGCGCCAGCCCGGACGGCATTGCCCAACGCTCGCTCACCGCCCGCGCGGCTCCTTACAGCGCCCTTTAAGGCGGAGCGGGTGGAACCAGCCGGGAGCAGAAAGCACGGCAGCCCGCTCGGCTCCTTCCGTCGGCTGCCCGTCCGGCTTCCTTTGGCGCAGGAGCCCGAGGTCCTGCCTGCCTGCTCGGCCGCCGCCGCCTTCCAGCTCCATGAGCCGCCAGCTGGAACCCCGCAGCCCCGCCGCGCTTCTGCACTCGCCGGCGGCCGCTCCCCGCTGCCGGAGCGCCCCTGCCAAGCGCTTGCTTTTGCACGACGCCGCCGCCGCCAGCGAGGAAGCTCCGGCCGCCGCCAAGTGCGCCCGCCTGGCCGTCGATTACACCGCCGCCGCCGCCGTCCCTCAGGATTGCCTCAGCGCGCCGGGGTCGCCTTGCGCACCGGTTCCGCCCGGCGAAGCTTCGCTTGCCAGCGCCCAGGGCCCCAGCTTGGTGGCCGGCTACCTTTTGCTGCCCTTGCTCGACCGGGAGCACGTTTCGAGGGCGCTCGACATCAACACCGGCCGGGAGCTGCGTTGCAAGGTAAGCCCGGGGCGCGAGCTGGGCAGCCTCTGCAGCCGCCTTCGGGGATTTGCTTGCGGGCGGGCGAGAGAGAGCGACCTTCCCCCGGGGTGGTGGGGAGACCAACAGCGCGCCGCTTCTTCGCCCTGAATGGGACTCGGTTAAAGGCGGCCGTGGCGATGAATAATAGCCGGCGTTTTCAAGGGGCAGCCGGATCGGCTGTTGTGCATTGCAAAGCGAAGATCTTGACTTGCAAGGCTGAGCCTTTGGAAGGGGGGGTGGGTGTGTGTTTGTGTGTGTTTGTGCGAAGGGGGGGGGGAACAACGTGAAAGGAGCCTGGATAGCTCAGCAGACTAATGCATTGTAGTTTAACTCCAGCTGTCTGCAATTAGTAAGTTCGAATCTCCCCAGGCTGGAGGTTGACTCAGCCTTCCATCCTTTCTAAGGTAGGTAAATTGAGGACCCAGTTTGTGGGGGCAATAAGCTGACTTTGTATAAAATATACAAAAGTATGAAGGCTATTGCTTAATGCATTGTAAGCCGCCCTGAGTCTCCGGAGAAGGGCGGCATATAAATCTAATTTTTAAAAAAATTGAGAACTCGGTCTGCAAACTGCCTCTCGAACCCCACGAGTTCCCTTTTGCCTTTTGCTTTTAAAGGGGAGCTTTAAAAAGCAAAGAAAGAGAGAGGGAGAGAGAGAGAGAGAAGCCCAGATCCCCACTGAAGGGGGGCTTCCTTCCGAGGAAACCTCAACATCTGGAAGCCAAGAAGGCATCGATTTGTGCCGGGATCGGAACAAAAAAAATAAAATAAATAAAATAAAAAATTGAAGGTCCCGGGAAACAAAAGAAAAAATACCTGCAAAAAACGCGATGCCTTTCTGAAAATTCCCAAAATTGGGACCCGATTCGCTTTGCAAGCGCAGACTTTGGCTCAGAAATGGGTTTCCTCCCCCCCCCTGCAATATTTGGGAGGTGGATGTGGATGCACGAAGAAGCGAATCCCTGCAAGAAAAGCGCATCCCGGCTGGATGCGTGCGTTGTGTGTATGTGTGTATTTTTAACTGCATCGGGAAAAGGTCCTGGGAGTAAGGAAGGGTTAAGGTTTCCTCCGTCATCCTCCTCTTGTTTTCCGCTCCCCTCCTTGCAGCCTAGTACGCAAGCAGGACTTGACTGCCGCTAGAGCTGGGGAGAGCTTTCCAAGTTTTCCATGAGGTCTCTCCTCGGCTCTTTAAATAAAACACGCACTGTGCCTCCCCTCGCTTCCTCGCCTTGCCAAGAGAGAGAAAGGCTGAAGCTGCAGCCGTGAAGTTTCCTACTGCCACCTGCCGGCTCTTTCTGCAACAAATGGGGCTGCTCCAAGCGTTAAAAGTCCACGGTGGAACTCTTGGGATTAATAACAGGAGCTGGATTAATAACAGGAACAGAGGTCATCTAGTCCAACCCCCTGCTCATGCAAGAGACCTATCCTAGGGATTTGAACCGCCGACCTGATGACCTTTCTGATCGACAGGCTCAGCATCCTTTGCCACTGAGCCACCTCCTGATGCAGGAGAGGGTGTGTGAAGAGTCCTTGGAGGTCATCTAGTCCAACCCCCTGCTCATGCAGGAGACCTATCCTAGGGATTCGAACCGCCGAACTGCCGGCCTTTCTGATCGACAGGCTCAGCATCTTAGCCATGAGCCACCTCCTGATGCAGGAGAGGGTGTGTGAAAATCCAAATTGGCTCACCTGCTGCCATATAATGGACTCCGTCTAAGAGCAGGTGTTCCTCCCCCCCAAACTTGACAACTTTCCTCCTCCCTCCCAAACTTGACAACTTTGAAGTCCCAATTCCCAGAATCCCCCAGCCGGCACACTTAACTTTAAGATAATGTGGACTGGCTGGGGAGTTCTGGGAGTTGAAGTCCACCAGTCTTAAAAGTTGCCAAGTATGGAGATTCTTGCTCTACAGTAGAGCAGTGTTTCCCAACCTTGACAACTTTAAAGATAGGTGGAGTTCAACTCCCAGAATTCCCCAGCCAGTCTACACATCTTAAAAAGTTACCAAAGTTAGACATGTTGGCTGCGGATTATGGGAGTTGAAGTCCACACTTCTTAAAAGTTGCCAAGGTTGGGAACCACTGCTCTAGAGAGCCTTTTGACCACTGACCTCCACTTTTAACCTCCTCCTGCTTTTCTCCTGCTTTTAGAAACAGCCTAAATATAGTTAGAACCCCGTATGCTCTTCCTTAAAGTGTAGTAGTTACAAGCAGGCGTGCCTCCGGTTAGGCTCTTAAGTTGCCAGATCGACTTCCCTGATACACCTTACAATCTACATTCTAACACAGGGCAGATAATAACAGAGAAAAGAGAAGAAAAGGAACGTAAGTGGGTGGGTAGAATTTTGTTTTGTTTTGTTTTTAAATCCCAGGCAATTCTGGGAGTTGAAGTCCACAAGTCTTAAAAGTTGCCAAGGTTGGAGACCCCTGTTTTAGAGGATTGCCTGTTCTGGCTTGCAAACTCTTTGACCTGTGGTGAGAATTGCTCTTTTCCAAGTCAGGAAAATCTGTCTCATTCTCTTGAAATATTTATCTTTTAACCTCCGCTGGGTTTGCAACCAGGCTGATGTAGCCTAACACGGCTTTAGCATGTATGGGAGACGAAGTTCCGATAGAGAAGAGGACTTTGATGATCCCCACCCACCCAAGAGAGAAAGTAGCAAGGAAGAAGAGGCTCTCTCTGTGTGTGTGTGTGTGTGTGTGTGTGTGTGTGTGTGTGTGTGTGAAATTGTTTGGAGACCCTTTGCAATATATTTTCTCTCTGGGAGTTTGTGCCAAGTTGGAAGACTCACCATTTCCAGCTTGGCTTAGGATGTGAGTAAGCTCTTCGCAAGTCCCAGAACATGATTGCAGTCTTGCAAAATATCTGTGAATAAAGTATGAGAAGCTTTAATCTTCTTCTTCCTTGCCTAAATGTTTCAGCTCGGTTGCCTTCACCTTTGTTTGACTCACTGGGAGGTGATTGCTTTGGTGGCTTTTAATAGCTCTTCAAACTCCCCCCCCCCCTCAAACACACCTCCCCTTCATTTTTCCTTGACCGCTCTGGAGAAGGGAGCATTACTGTACATACGTGCTGGCAAGGAATTGCTGGTCAGTGTTTACAGTGAGTGTGCAAAGGATTCAGGGCTGGTTTTTTTTTGTTTTTTTGGTCTTCCTCGAATGCAAAAAGCAGGAATTGTAGATATTAAAAGTTTTAATGCAAAGGGGTGTGATGTTTAAGCGGTGTCTGGAGAGAGGTATCGCAAACAATACAATACAATCAGAACTACTTTCCCAGATTAGATCAGCGTTTATTTGGTATCATGTTTTCCAGTAGGCTGTTAGTTGGATACTTCTTGTCCTTGTTAGGGAATTAAGACTTTCTTTGCTATCTATGCTAAGTGTTTAACGCCAGATGCTCTACAGGCAGAAGTTCTCTCTAGCTCAGGAAGAGCCTTATGTACCTCCAGGAGGTGGTAATTTTCAAAACCTAGCAGCCCAAGACATCATGCGGATCTTGGGCCATGAGGGATGTCCTAGTTCAACAGTTTGGGAGATGGCCAAGTTGCCACCCTTTCTTTCAGCTACTTGGACTATTGTTATTCCATCATGTTCCCAAAATGAATCCCCCTTCCTCATCTAAATATCTTTGCACAGAAACCAAATGCATCTTAACTTCAGTTGCCTGGTCCAGGAAGTGTATAATTCTTCCAAAAGCTTGATTTGTCTCTCTTTTTCCATGCTGTTCTGTTTGGATCATAGCCGCATTCTTCAAAGGTGGCAGTTTCTGCGATCTCCTCTTTGGTGGGTGATTTGATGGAGAGTCTTCCTTTACTAGTAAGAACTTAGCTTAATGAATGTAGAGATATCAATAGAAGAGAATATTTGTAACTCAAGGTTTTTGGTGCTCTCTGAGCTTGGCTGTTTCTTGTAAACGTTTCATTATCCCACCAGGTAACATAATCAGTGATAGAAAGGAGTGGGGTTTCTAATAAAATCCTGGTTGTATTTTCTAATTGGGTAATGAAATGTCTGCAAAAAAGCAGCCAAGCTCAGGGAGCACCAAGGACCCCATGACTGCAGATATTTTAATCAGGATCCGTCAAGGTAATCTATCATGCTGCTTGTAGTCTCCAATAAAACCTTATTTAATCTCTTTTTTTCCCTTCTTGGTTCTATCTCTAGGTCTTCCCTCTCAAACACTACCAGGACAAAATCAGGCCTTACATCCAGTTACCATCACATCGAAACATCACTGGGATTGTGGAGGTCATCCTCGGAGAAACGAAGGCATATGTCTTTTTCGACAAGGACTTTGGTGACATGCATTCCTACGTTAGGAGCTGCAAGCGTCTGCCGGAGCAGGAAGCCGCTAGACTCTTCAAACAGATTGTGTCTGCAGTCGCTCACTGCCACCAGTCTGCCATTGTGCTGGGGGACCTCAAACTCAGGAAATTTGTGTTCTCTAATGAAGAAAGGTGAGCCGATGGGCCTATGTGATGGTTGGCTTTCAGGCCTCTCTCCAAAGAGGATCCTCAGACCACGTGCTCCCAATTGCCACGTCTAATGCTAAACCCGTAGCCTTTGTGTTTTTGGTTTTCGTCGCTAGGCCGGGTTTGGCCCAGGCGAGGCCAGTTGCTTACCCCTGCTGTGAATCATAGAGCAGTTCTCTGTACCAAATAGGCCTCTATAGAATGAGGAAAAGATGGTGATCCAGTCTGGGGAAACTAATACTTTTATTTATTTTTTTTGAAGGGAATAATTTATTTATTTATTTATTTTATTAGTCCAATTTATATGCCGCCCTTCTCCGTAGACTCAGGGTGGCTTACAATGCATTATAGCAATAGCCTGCATACTTTTATGTATATACCTGCTTATTAGGGCTTTCAGGCCCCCCAAGCGGTGTTGTTCTATACAAAGCTGGCTTATTGCCCCTACAGTCCGGGTCCTCAATTTACCTACCTCGAAAGGATGGAAGGCTGAGTCAACCTTGAGCCTGGTGAGATTTGAACTCGCACTGATTGCAGGCAGCTGGCAGCTAAGTGCTAGCACTTAACAGCACTTAGTCCGCTGCACCACCGAGGCTCCTGTATAATATCTGATAACACCTCCCATAATGTGTAGCAAGCTACAGCCATTTTGATGATAGCCTGCGAAATTATACCCTTAACGCTGTTGGGAAGGGCAGATAGGCAGAGCCCATTCAAGGGACAATGGGCATCCCAGGTGACCTTCCCTTTTCTTATTTCAAGCCCAACATTTTTGCCATGCTAGTAAGCAAGTGGTGTTATATAAACAGCTGCCTCACTTCTGGCTGGGATCCAAAGAACTATTACCCTGAAGAATGTATAAATGTCTCAACCTTGGCATCTTGAAGATATGTAGACTTCAACTCCCAGAATTCCCCAGTCAGCATACTCTGCCTTGATTTGCTGGCACCCTCCAGGCCAAGGCCAGGGCAGACCTGGGTGCCATTATTCCCCCTGCTAATGCATCAGTTACTGCTATAAAAATACTAATAGGAGTTGTGGATTACTCATTGGGTGGTTGTGAGGTCAAGGAAGATAAAGCATTCAGCCCTGTAACAAAGAGCAGCCATAAAATAATGCCCCAAATGTGACACAATCTTTCCTGCCTCTTTAGATCAGCAAAACAGGCTGAACAAGTAGACAACAAATTATATACAGGTAGTCCTCGACCTGCGACTAAAAGGGAGCTGAGAATTTCCGTTGTACGTTATGAGGTTCGTAAGACGAGACACTCCCGTAACTAATCCCAAGCCGATGACATTTTTGTGGCTGTCATTAAGCGGATGTCATGGTTGTTAAGTGAACCCATTGTCCCCAATGTGTGTTTTGTTGCTGGAAATTAGATATAAATTCAAGTTTCTGGCCAAAAAATAATATGACCATGGGATGCTACCAACAGTTGTAATTGCACACCGGTTTACCCAACATGTCACTGCAGGGGGAGGCATTAAAACTTTGAATCCAGGTTATAAGTCATTTGGTGTGGGGGGAGGTCTGTCATAACTTGGAACGGCCAGTCGTAAGTCAAAGACCACCTGTAATGGAGACTTTGCCTTTTCTATTAACCCAGCAGCTTTGTGTGGGATGATTGATCCATTCTTGGGGAATTCTGGGCGTTGAAGTCCACATAACTTCAAGCTGCAAAGATTGACAAACTGTGATCTAGTGAAATGTTGAAAGTTGAATGATTGCAATGTAGGCATAGCACAAATAATTTTTGAAATGGGACATGTTTTCTCTGTTCCTGACCTCCTTGCAGGGGTAGGTTCTAAATTTTTTTACTACCGGTTCTGTGGGTGTGGCTTATTTTGTGGGTGTGGCTTGATGGTCATGTGACCATTCTTTAGGATTTATTTATTTATTGGTTCGATTTATATGCCGCTCTTTTCCGGAGACTCAGGGCAGCTTACAATGCGTTAAGCAATAGCTTTCATACTTTTGTATAGACCTGCTTAGTAGGGCTTTCACCCCCACCCAAAGTGGTGTTCTTTTTTTATACAAAGTCAGCTTATTGCCCCCACAAACTGGGTCCTCATTTTACCTACCTCGAAAGGATGGAAGGCTGAGTCAACCTTGAGCCTGGTGAGATTTGAACTTGCAGTAATTACAGGCAGCTGGTGTTACTTAACAGTGCTTTAGTGTGCTGTGCCACCAAGGCTCATTTTACATTTAGCAGAGGTACTGGTCTACCAGGCTTTTAACTGTTTGCAGAGCTGTACCAGTATACCAGTGTATTTTTGCAGGCACTGGTCTACCCATTTATTTTTGCAGGCACCGGTATACTCATTTGTTTTTGGAGGCACCGGTCTACCACCAAACTGCCTTTTACCACTGATCAGCTGTAGGGCGGCCCTTTGAAGCCCCGTGGCAAGAGTTTAAACAGTTTTTCCTTATAGCCCATCAGCTGGGACTCAGGAGGCAGCAATAGATTGGGGGTGGGGCCAAATAAAAGGTAAGAATAACGCAGGGTGGGTGTGGGACGCGGGGGGGGCAGAATCGGTTCGGTGATGTCATATCGTCACCGCTACTGGCTCGGCGGAACTGGGCCGAACCGGGAGGAACCCACCACTGCCTCCTTGGCCTACTTTTTAGACCTTGAACCTCATGGCGCTGTTTTTAATCAGACTGCTTTCTTACGTCCACATTTTTCTTCCTCCACAAATCCCACTTAAATATCTTTCCAAAGGTTTCACAAAAAGGTTCCTAGGAGAAGCACGCGTGCTTGTTTATTTAAATTGCAATTCTTTCCGCCTCTTAAGGTCATTTTTGTGCTTTTTTTTTTTTTTTAAATCTACATTCTTATTGGAGCAAATAAATACATAATGCAGGAACAAGAAGCTTGTTTGTCCCAGAGTTATGAATTGGCAGTTTGGTGCCAGATCCTGGCTTCTCAGCAGGGGCACACATGACTAGGTTAATCCTTGTCGGATGTTTGAATGTTAAGCTTTTTCACTGAGGCTCGTTTGTACACAACGTGCCATGCGTGCCCTTAAGGATCTTAAGTTGCCATATTTGCAAACAAATTCACTACAGAAACGGGGACGGGATTCTGATTGCTAAGTGAAATACCTTAATTTTCGACTAACAGACTCCAGCTGCAGGCATGAGATTGGAGGCTGTTTAAAATCCAAAATGCTTCCTCTTGATTGAGCTGAAGCTTCCCAATGGTTAATTGGCTTCCATCCAAACAATTTTTTTTTTTTAAAAAAAGAAAGAAACTAGCATAACTGGTCTATGAATGACTTTGTCCCATGCGGTTTGACTTGGATTACAAGGTTAGGTGTGCGGCGGAGTAGACATGAATTAAAGATTGATGTACTTTTAAGTGTCATGCATTTAAATGAATTGTATTTGGGCATTGACGGCAAATGAGAATTAGATAAGGAACCTGTGATGAATGGAAGGGTTGGGAGAATGGAAGCTATACAGAGAGGTTACAGGCTTAGCTGGGAATGCCATCAGTGGCACAATGGGAAGGAATGAGTGTGTTTTCGGCAATTGCGTACAACCTGTTTGTGTGCCCTGCTAATCTATTGTTTCAATAAAGTCTTGAGACTTTATTGAAGGTCACAAAACTACCTTGGCTACCTTCAGATTTGGAGGCCTTCAAGCCACCTTGGTTTGATGTAGAAGGAATAGCGTTGGGGTCAACTCAACACTATTCAGCCCAGATTTTCTGTTGCTAAAACGAGACAATTGCTAAGTGGGTTTTGCCCCATTTTACAACCTTTCCTGCCCCGTTGTTAAGTGAATCACTGCAGTTGTTAAGTTAGTGATGCGGTTGTTAAGTGAATCTGACTTCCCCATGGTCTTCGCTTGTCAGTAAGGTCGCAAAAGGGGATTGCGTGACCCTGGGGCACTGCAACCGTCATAAATAGGAGTCAGTTGCCGAGCATCTGAAGTTCGATCAGGTGCCTCCAGAAGTTGTGAATGCGCCAACACTGGAAGTTTTTAAGATGATGTTGGATAACCATTTGACTGAAGTGGTGTAGGGTTTCCTGCCTAAGCAGGGGGTTGGACTAGAAGACCTCCAAGGTCCCTTCCCACTCTGTTATTATAAAAGACTTCTAAAAGACTATGGGGATGCTGCAACGGTCATAAGTGTGACAAACTGCCATAATTCATTTTTTTCCCCAGTGCCGTTGTAACTTTGAACGTCTCTAAACAAATGGTTGTAAATTGAGGATTACCTGTGATGCACAGCTCGGCACCATTTCCCTCCTACCCCCGGTGTAAGTTTGCATTGTATTTTTAGAGAACGAGTCGTGTAGTTTGTGTTAATACAGTTTGTGTTGTTTTAGCGGAGAGCTGGCCCAGTTTATTGGCTATCTTGAAAGAATTGGGTGGTCCTTTCGATCTTGGCCCTATGGCAGGGGTGAAATGCTACTGGTTCACACCGGTTCAGACGAACCGGTGGTGGCGGTGGGTGGTTCGGAGAACCGGTAGCGGTAGCAGCAGAGCAAGGCTCCACCCACCTGCCTGGATGTCATTACTTCCTGGTTTTAACCCGTTTTTTACCCTCTGCGCCTGTGCAGAAGGCTTTGCGCATGCATAGAGGGTCCAAAATCGCATGTGACGTGCGCACTTCCGAACCGGTAGGGAAGATAAGTAGATTTCACCCCTGCCCTAAAGGCAGGTGGAGAGAAAACGTTGTGAAGTATCAATGGATGTATTTCGCAGGCTTGGGTGCACGCTGCTCCACCCAAGCTCACGACTGTGCCAGCAATGCAAGGTTACTTTTCTTTGCCCTCCTCTGGAGATAAACTGTAGGACCCCTTAAAGAAAGAGTGCTATGGGCAGAGGGGAGGAAGGTAGGAATTTTTGAGATCCTCCCTTTGAAGATAACTGTAGTTGGGTCGTGTGTCAGCTGGCCCAGAATAGGTAGGAAAAAGCAGCCCATTTGAACTTGGTGGGAGTCCTGCTTTTGGCATCCAAAGCAATTTCACGCCCGATTGCGGCAATCCGTGCATTACTTTGAAGTGATGGAGCACGGTTGCTTGTGAATGCTAGGGATTGTGTCGTTAATTCTCCCTGTATGCGCGCGCGCGTTGCGTGCTCTAAAGCCTTTGGTGTTTAATTTCACTGTTTTTGGTTTGGGTGAAGGAGCAGCTGATTGTTCTGTGTTACATTAAGGAACAAATTATTCCCAGCCTAATTCTGAATTCTTGAATCTGGTAGGGGTTGCTCCTCACTATGGACTGGAGGTCCATAGATAACATTCATTTCCCTAAAACAGGGGTCTGCAACCTTAAATACTCAAAGAGCCATATGGACCTGTTTCCCACAGAAAAGAAAACACCGGGAGCCACAAAACCTGGGTGGGCGTGGCCAACCCGATATCACTCACTTCCACTAGTCATATGACCCCCCCTAGCCACGCCTACCCAGCCAGTCATTAGGGCAGAGAACCAGTTGTTAAAAAACACCGGGAACCACAAAATCCTTTTGACATCTCTCTCTCTCCCCTCCCTCCCTCCCTCCCTCTCTCCCTCCGTATCGCTCTATGTCTCTCTATCTCCCCCTCTCTCTGTATCTGTCTGTCTCTGCCCCAGCCACTTCTCCATCACCCGCCGTCGCCCTTACCTTCTCAGGCCAGGCGAAGAGTGACTGGGAAGGGAGGGGAGGGCCAGCCAGTGGTGGGATCACCAACAGGAAGCCACAGCAGAGGGTCCAAAGAGCCGCATGCGGCTCCAGAGCCGCAGGTTGCTGACACCTGCCCTAAGAGGAGATTACATCGTCGTCTTCTTCTTGCATTTAATTCCTGTGTCTCTTAGTCCCAAACCTTTTGGGTTTTGTTTTTTTTTGGGGGGGGGGTTTCAGGTCTCCTGTTGCAAATTAGCACTTCTAAATAACAGTGGGATAGTGGCACATGAATGTGGGCATCCAGAGTAACAATTGGGACAAAGAGATTGCTGAATGGAAGCTTTCATGGTGAGATGGGTAGCTAGGTTTCTGCACCGTAGATGAAGCATCTGAGCTGTTCTCCTGCTTAAGTGTTTTCAGTGCCATTAGGTGACTTTGTAACTTCCAGCCATCGGGCGCTCAACGAGGGTTTTAACAGGCGTGTGTGAATCAGTCGATCAAAGTCAAGGTTGAAAAGCCTGTAGCGAAACAATGGCTCTTTGGCAACCAGCGGAGCCTGGGGATGAGAGCAATCTATCAGAAAGTACATGTTGACCTAAAAAAAAAATAAAACAACAACAGCAACTGTTTCTCCTTGCAGGGAAACAGTTGTTTGTTGGCTGCCTGTGATAAATTTGAATCACTTGCTGAAACAGCAGATTGCCCCTCCGTGCTGCTAATTTAGAAACTTAGTAATTGCACAGGGCTGATGTTGTGTGCAACGCGTTTGGTAACCCCGGAGGTGAAGCAATATTGGGCAAGAGGTTAGCCTTTAGTAAGCACAGGTGTGAAAACATGAGTCCCACCAGCCAGTTGGAGAGCAGGTAGGGCAATCTGACTCATATTTTCCATGTACAGGACCAGCTAGGAGAGGGGAAAGGGAGGAGGAAGGTCAGGGCAAGGAGGCTGGCCAGCCAACGGTGTCAGGAAAAGCGGCACCCCGCCCCACAGAAGCCGGAAAATATTTAATCCACAAATATAAAAAACAGCACTCTAGCAACGCAAGGTTTGGGGAAGAGAATTCTGCATAAAATAAAAGCTGCACGGCTCTTTCTGTACATGTGTTGTGAATTGAGGGGTGGGGATGTTGTATAAACTGAACTAGAGAGTTACGACTATTTCAGGAACAAAAGGGATGTAAGTTTTGGCTGCAATCCCATCAGCGAGTTAAGGCTTGATGTCACCAAGACAAAACTGGCTTTCATCCAAGATCATCGTCGCCCTGTGAATGTGTCTTGCTGCAATGGAGTCTTTCTCATTTGCACATGTCATTTCCTTCACTCCTTTCTCCTTCGATGACTGACAACCCATTGACAATCCAGCCAGTGAGGTTGGATACTGGCTGTCTTGTGGCCTCATTCATGCCTAGAAGTTTTACTGTGATTTTTTTTTCCTTTGAAGAGGTGGCCATTCTGAAGGAAGCAAATGATGGCTAATTTATTCCCTTCACCCGCGTTACAGATAGTTCTCGACTTACAACCACAATTGAGCCCACAGTTTCCATTGCTAAACAAGACAGTTGCTAAATGAGTTTTGGCCCCATTTTATTTATATATTTATATATTTATTAAATTTTTATACCGCCCCCTCTCCCGAAGGACTCGGGGCGGTGAACAGCCAAGATTAAAAAACATACAATATAAACATTAAAATACATTTAAAACAAAATTAAATCCAATGGCTTTCCCCAATTTAAAACCCCTTACCCATAAAATTCACCAATAAAAAATTTTAAGCCAGCCCGGCTTGCCGAAATAGGAACGTTTTCGGAGCCCGGCGAAAGGTTCGGAGGTCCGGGATCAGTCGTATCCCTGGGGGTAGCTCATTCCGGAGGGCGGGTGCCCCCACAGAGAAGGCTCTTCCCCGGGGGGGTCGCCAGCCGACATTGCCTGACCGACGGCACCGTGAGGAGGCCCTCTCTGTGGGAGCGTATTGGCCGGTGGGAGGTTATCGGTGGCAGAAGGTGGTCTCGTAAATAACCGGGCCCTAAGCCATGGAGCGCTTTGAAGATGAGAACCAACACCTTGACGCGCACCCGGAAGACCACCGGAAGCCAATGCAGCTTTCTTGGCACACAGTGGTTAACGCTTCAGTGGTTAAATTAGTAACACGGTTACTAACCGAATCTGCCTTCCCCATTGACTTCGCTTGACAAGGTTGCAAAAGGTGATTGCATGACCCCAGGACACTGCAACTGTCGTAAATACGAGTCAGTTGCCAAGTGCCTGAATTTTGATCACGTGATCCTGGGGTCATCAGTGCGAAAAACGGTCCTAAGTTTCTTTTTTTCAATGCCACTGTAACTTTAAACGGTCACTAAACAAATAAGTTGTAAGGCAAGGACCCTGTGTCATTGAATGCATTTTTACTCATTGACCCCTGATGTCCACTGGTTTAACGTTTCAAGTGGCCCAGGTGTGTGAGCCATTGGGGTTCAAAAGCTGTGCTCCTGAGCATTTTGACGGTGGCGTTGGATCAACAATGGCTCACCCGTATAATAAAAGTGCCAATGTCCTTGAGAAGGGAACAGGCTGATGAACTTAGGTGAACTCCATAGCATGTGCCTTATTTTATCATCTTTGCAAATTAACCCTGTGTAGAAACGCTCAGTGGTGTTTTGATAATGCAAGCTGCTGTTTCAGAACAGTGGCCGACGTTTGAGAGAAGTGTGGATGGGCCAGTGGTGAAATCCACTTACTTTCGCTACTGGTTTGGGTGCGCTCCCGTGGGGAAGCATGTGCACGCTATGCGCGCACCTCTTCTGTGCATGCGCAGATGGTTAAAAAACAGGACGTAATGACGTTCCAGCAGGTGGGTGGAACCTCCTGCCGCTGGCGCTACCGGTTCAGCGAACCGGATAGAACCGGAGAGGATTTCACCACTGGGATGGGCTCTGTTGCATGTATCTGTGTGAGTGTGGCGTTTACCTCTCTGGCATTCTAACTGAGGTCTTGTCCTCTTCTGTCCTCCAGGATGCAGCTGAGACTCGAAAGCCTGGAAGATACCCACATCATGAAAGGAGAGGATGACGCATTGTCGGACAAACACGGCTGCCCGGCGTACGTCAGTCCAGAAATCTTAAACACAACGGGAACCTATTCCGGGAAGTCGGCTGACGTTTGGAGCTTGGGAGTTATGCTGTACACTCTCCTAGTGGGACGGTATCCCTTTCATGACTCAGATCCTACCGCCCTCTTTTCCAAAATCCGGCGTGGACAGTTCTGCATACCGGATCACGTTTCTCCCAAAGCACGGTGTCTCATCCGCAGCCTCCTTAGGCGAGAACCCTCTGAAAGACTCACCGCGCCGGAAATTTTGCTCCATCCTTGGTTCAACGCCGTTTTGGAATCTGGGTACGCTGACCAGGATGTACGAATCTCTGATCAAGTGGTCCCGGAGCAACTGAAGGAGGACGATGATATGAGCCTCTTCTTTTGCTAGCTCCACCTACTCAACTTTGCCTCGGGGACAAGAGATGTCGCTCTTGCGTGTCAGCGTTTTTGTGTCCGTTTTTGTGTCGGGGTCCATCTTGTAGATGCATCGCTTTCCAAAAGCCTTCTTCCACTCAGGACCATTGAGATCTCAAATGCACTTAACCCACAAGGTGGAAGGCCTCTTTATCTTCTCCCACGTCCTCGAAAGTTTGAAATCTTGGCTTGCTAAATCTACGGATTCTTCCTTGGTGTCGGGGAGCGGGGGTCTGCCATCCATCCGGCGCAAGCATGCTGAACGTTTGAACTAGAATCTGGAGAAAACAGCAAGCTAATGTTGGATTTCATTGGAAAAATCAGATTGCTTTAGCTGGAATTTGCAATACAGCTAGTCCTCGACTTACAGCCATCCATTTAGTGACCGTTTATAAAGTTACAACAGCACTGGGGGGGAAAAGCGACTTATGACCAGTTGTCCCACTTACAACCATGGCACCATTTCCCCACGATCACGGGATCAAAATTTGGGCACTTGACAACCGGCATATGATGGTTGCAGCATTATGTGGGTCACCATTTGTGAACTTCCCAGCCAAACAAAGTAAATTGAGCGGGGGGGGAGCTGGATTGGCTTAACAACCGCCTAATTCACTTAACAACCTCAGTGATTCATTTAACGAGCAGGTTGTAAAATGGGGTGTAAGTCACTTAAACAACCACCTTGCTTAGTTCGCAGTGGAAATTTTGGTTTTTGGTTGTGGTCGTAAATTGAGGACTTCCTGTATAAATGTTGCAGCCTCTTGTTGCTTTCCTTCTTTTCTTCCGCTTAATAGAAAAGAGCTTTTGAGAGCTCCCTGTGCCTATTCATATCCACATGGCCTGTCTTCGCTGCCCAGTTTACTATTACAGCAATGGTAGAAGTGCCAGAGGATTCTCCTGCCTCCCATCCATCATGCAGATGACAGGATCACCAGCTGGCCTTTGATTACAGAATCTTTTTGCTGGTGATGTAAGAGCGAAATGCAGTTGTGGTTCTTACGAAGCCGGGCAGGACTAGGGGATGATCCCAGTGCTAGAACGATGGATTGGCATTTAAAAAAAAAAAAAGGAAGTGTGGAATAGGAGTCTGACAACGATTTCTAACAATTCTTTTCCCTCGCGTGGCTCTCGTATCCTTCAGGGTAGAGTCCAGCGGTTGTTTTTTGTTGGTTTCTTAGACAAGAGAAAGTCCAACTTGAACGTTTTCGACCTTCAAGGCGACAGGCTGGGTATCCAGGTCTTGCAAAACCTGTTGATCTTAGAGGCTCTATAGCCTTTTGAACAGCTGGATTTTACAGTTTGAAACCCAACTTGGTTAATCCAGATTTAAGGCTGCCGCTTAGCCTTTCAGCAGAGCTTTTGTTGAAGGGACAAATCCGGCAGCTAATCTTTTGTTATTTTGACCCGCAGGAGCCTTGATAATCTAGAATGAAGTGGCCTTGAGTCTGAATAAGATTTGGGGACACTTTGGTGGTGTTTTAGGCCTGCTTTGCCACACTCGGAGAGTTTCCACAGATAACAAAAGCGTGCGTTGTGCTGCCAATCCCAAAGGTGCCAAACTGTATTTAGCTTCCAGTGTTTTGCTACTGAAAGGGTCAGAACCATTAAAACGAATATCTCTGGCTTTAGGAAAAAGACCCCAGCCTCTCTCCATACATAACAACCTCAGTGGACCTCTTAAAATGGCGTCCATGCCATCTGAGTGAAGGGGCCCTCAGTGCTGTTCTACATTCTTGAATATCCATAGGATTTTAACCCTTAAAGCAGACAGGGGTCTCCAACCCTGGCAACTTTTAAGCCTGGCAGACTTCAACTCCCAGAATTCCCCAACCAGCAAAGCAGCGCTGGCTGGGGGATTCTGGGAGTTGAAGTCCACCCATCTTCAAGCTACCAAGCTTGAGAAACATTGACTTAACACAACCGTGTGACTAACTTAACACGCTGCGGCGATTCACTTCACAACCGTGGCAAGAAAAGTTGTAAAATGGGGGGGGGGACTCAGTGTCTCGCTTAGCAGCAGAAAAATTTGGGGCTCGGCTGTGGTAATCAGGCAAGGGACTGCCTGTATTTGATAGAAAAGGTGAAACCAATTTTCTACTTCTTCCATGACTCAGCAGCCAAACAGTTGTGGATGTGCATGTGACTTGACAATAATGCACTGTTTATGTTGGTGTTTTTAAGTACAAGTGTTAGCCAAGGGAGGATCTGTGTATGCTTACCTAGGTGCCGTTCTCACCCTCTGACATCACCAGCAAAAAGGGCTTCCAGGAAACAGAGGAAAAAGATTTCTATCCAACTCTGGTTTTGGTCCCTGCCCATCCCAAGTATGCCAATCCAAGACCAGGGGCAACTTTAAGTCGGCAACTTTAAGACTTGTGGACTTCAACTCCCAGAATTAGTCTAGTGAAGAGAAGGATCAGGGGAGACATGTTAGCACTGTTCCAATATTTGAGGGGCTGCCACAGAGAGGAAGGGGGGGGGGTCAAGCTATTTCCCAAAGCACCTGAAAGGCCAGATAAAGAATAATGGATGGAAACTGACCAAGGAGAGATTCAACCTAGAAATAAGGAGAAACTTTCTGACAGTGAGAACAATCAACCGATGGAACAGAAGTTGCCTTCGGAAGTTGTGGGAGCTTCATCACTGGAGGCTTTCAAGAAGAGATTGGACTGCCATTTGTCAGAAATGGTGTAGGGTCTCCTGCTTGGGCGGGGGGTTGGACTAGATGGCCTACAAGGTCCCTTCCAACTCTGTTAATCTATTTTGTCTATCTGTCTGAATTCCTCAGTCATCCAGCCGTTTTTGCTGGCTATATCAGAGGGTGAAAACGGCACCTTGGTAAACATGGCCGGCTGAGGAATTCTGGGTCACGAAGTCCACACGTCTTAAAAGTTGCCGAGTTTGGAGACCCCTCTCTGCCCAAGACCACACCCCATCCGTGCACCTCCTGAGAATCCAGTCATTCCAGATACACTTTTCAAAGCTCAGGTCATGGCTTTTGGATGCCAAATGTTAGCGGAAGCCGTCAATTTTAAGCATGCTTTCCCAAGCAGTCATCTGAAAGGGCCTGGTTTGGTTCCCTTGTATCTGTTGGGTGTCGCTCTGTAAGCAGCCTCAACATCCGAATACAAAACACATCAGCCAAGGGTGGGGTGGCCTAACCTGAGAGTCAAAGATAAGCTGTATCTCGTTGTGTAGACTGAAAGGCAGTTGTGTTTTGGCTTTTTGTGCAAGTTGCGTGATGCAATACCCTGGCTCCCTCGAGTTCTCTTCTTGCCCAGTAGCTGAACCAGGAAGCAATACCAGCATGTTTTCCTTTTGACTTGCCAACTCTAATCTATAAAACTCTCCTTCCTTCCATCCTTCTGTCTTCTGCATTTTCGTTGCTTTCTGGCTGTAAGAGGTGGTCCTATTTTAATTTGTGATCCATAATTGATGCATTTTGCATAAGCATTAACTTTCTGAGTCAGATAATGAAGTCCTTGACATCGGGGTCCATTCCAGTTAAGTGTAAAAACAGGCGCTCGTTTTTCTCTGAGTTGTAGCTCCTCCAGACAGGAAAATTGAAAGAAGCTTGTGATAATTGGAAGATAAGTTGGTTTCTTTTTGCTAATCACAGTCCAAAAAAAAAAAAAAAGCTGAATCTGCTGTGGGCAGGCTTGTGAGTATGTCTGGGCAGAATCCACAAAGAAAGTGTTTTTGATGGGAAAGCACTTAGCTTATTTTTCTAAAACTGTCTTGGGGGGGGTAGGCTAGGAGTAAGAATCAGTAGTAAAACTACAACTCCCAGTATGACTGTTGGGGAGGGATGCTGGGAATTGTAGTTTAGCTCGACGTGAAAGGCCTTAGATGCTGGATAAGAACACACTGCAGACTTACATAGCTTTATCTTTCAAGGTACAATGGGAAATGTAGTTCTGTGAAGCCATTGCTGATAATAAGCCACGTACAATGACCGCAATAGCCATAGTTTCTTATAGACAGAGCTGAAAAAGTGAGGTTTTAAAATCTCATGCGATAACTATTTCAAGGCTTTTGCAAAAAATAATAAATAAATAAAAGGGCTCCCAAGATTCAGTGTGCTTTCTCTCCTGTGTACGTCTCATGCAGTGTTTTGTCACCGAGTTCTATTTTTCTAATTTAATAACTGGTGCGTGTGCCCTAAATAAATCCGAGTTAGCAAAGAGCAGATTAAATGTGAATGATGGCTGGCAATACTAACTTGATAAATCAAGATAATTAGAGGTGAAAAGTTGTTGACCTTAATTGCACTAAGACTCTTGTGATTTGCTTTAATATATTTGTATCTGTGATACAGGTTTTTTTTTTTTTTTTAAATATCCTTGGACCTGCCTAGAACTCTGTATATTTTGGTAGGTGGAAAGTTAATAACACTGTTGAAACTCTGTAAATATGTACATATTTTGAGGATTATCATGACGAAAGTTGTAAAATTCCTGTACAAAAAAACTTTAATAAATCTGGTTTCATAACAAATTGTTTGCCTCCTTTGAAGCTTTGTGGGATTTCCTCATTTTTGATCCTGCCACAATCTCGCAACACTTGGCACTTAAAATGTCCCAGTGAAAACAAATACAACAGAGTTAAAAAAAACACAACAGCAAATTGCAAAATCAAAACTGGAAGGGAGTAGAGAAAAATGATAACAACAGGTGGTGTAGATGATGTTATTGAAACAACTTCAAAAAAAAAAAAAAGCTCCGTTTTTAATAACTTTCTAAAGTTTCTAGGGAGGGGCTGCTCTGGTTTCAAGGAAGTCCTATTCCATCACTGGTGCTACTCCAAAAAAGCAACATCTTCAAGTTTGCAGGATCCAATCTGAATCACCAGATTCAGAGGTTTATTCTTCACAAGCTTTTGGACTCATGCTGGAGCCCATCCTCCAGGAACTTTTCTCTCTCTCCAGAATGTGTCATTCTAGAGCAGGGGTCTCCAACCTTGGCAACTTTTAAGACTTGTGGACTTCAACTCCCAGAACTCCTCAGCCAGCAAAGCTCAGCCAACAAAGCAAAGCTGGCTGAGGAATTCTGGGAGTTGAAGTCCACAAGTCTTAAAGTTGCCAAGGTTGGAGACCCCTGGTCTAGAGAGAAGTTCCCTGAGGTTGTGCTCCTACATGAGTCCTGAAAGCTTGGAAAAATAAATAAGGATTAGAATAAACCTCTGGTTCTGGATGCGGTGGCTCAGTGGCTAAGACACTGAGCTTGTCGATCAGAAAGGTCGGTGGTTCGAATCCCTAGCGCTGCGTAACCGAGTGAGCTTCCGTTACTTGTCCTAGCTTCTGCCAACCCTAGCAGTTCGAAAGCATGTAAAAATGCAAGTAGAAAAATAGGGACCACCTTGGTGGGAAGGTAACAGCGTTCCGTGCACCTTTGGCGTTTAGTCATGCCGGCCACATGACCACGGAGACGTCTTCGGACAGCACTGGCTCTTTGGCTTAGAAACGGAGATGAGCACTGCCCCCTAGAGTCGAGAACGACTAGCACGTATGTGCGAGGGGAACCTTTACCTTTACTTGGTTCTGGTGACTGACTCCAATTGGATCCTGCAACATTAGCCTGGGACACATATATCTGCCTTCATTAGTGAGAGATATGGGCAGCCCATGCCTTTGAACAGTTGTAATTTGGGCCTACCTCTAGAAAGCTGGACCAACAAGGAGTCCGTCCTTATATGATCTACCAGGCCAGGTGGAATTTAGTTAGAGAAGGCCGTCTCAGAGCTACCCTAGAGTTTTGTAAGTTGGCACAACTTAAATTGGATTCTGGTAACCAAGGCAGGACCGACACTATAAGAATGATATATTCCCATCATTCTGGATTAGTTTTAACTTCCTAAGAGTCTTTAAAAGCAGCCTCATGCAAAGGACATTACAATAATCTATATGGGCAGTGATGAAAGCATGAGTTGCATTCACAAGGACGTTTTGCACCAAGAAAGGATGCAGATGGGTAAATGCCTCCAACCAGAAAGATGTTCCACACCATTTCCTCCAGTTATAAGCCTGCTGCTGGGTAGCTTGTGCCTGTCCATCCATGGATCAACTAACACCAGAGGAAAACAGATAGAAGTTCCATATTTACTTGGGTTCCATTATAACTTGGTTTTTTTTCTTCCACCCAAACCTTCATAGTCTTCAGGATGAATATCATCTTTCTCTCAACAACTTGGAGTAGTGACGTAGAGTTCTTGCTGAAGAACTGTACATCAGCAACAGTAATTTCTCTCCCACCCCGCTCTCCATCTAATCTTGTTCCAGTCCTGTTAATCCAGGGGTGTCAAACTCTATTTCATAGAGCCGGGAGGTGACAAGGGCGTGAGTGACCGTGCCTTGTGCACGGTCACTCATGCCCTTGTCACCTCCCGGCTGGACTATTGTAATGCTCTCTACATGGGGCTCCCCTTGAAGAGCACTCAGAGGCTCCAACTGGTCCAGAATGCGGCCGCGCGGGTGGTTATGGGCGCAACTTGTTGTGCCCGCGTGACACCCCTCCTGCGCGAGCTGCACTGGCTCCCAGTGGACTTCTGGGTGCGATTCAAGGTGTTGGTAACCACCTTTAAAGCGCTCCATGGCACAGGACCCGAGTACCTTCGAGACCGACTTCTGCCACCAATAGCCTCCCACTGGCCAGTTCGCTCCCACAGGGAGGGTCTCCTCAGGGTGCCATCGGCCAAGTTATGTCGGCTGGCGACACCCAGGGGGAGGGCCTTCTCTGTGGGAGCCCCAGCCCTGTGGAATGAACTGCCCCCGGAAATGCGCAAGATCTCCGACCTCCGGGTGTTTCACTGCGCACTGAAGACCCTGTTGTTCCGCCAGGCTGGGCTATCAACATAATAATTTTAAATTGGAGTATTTTAAATTTGTGGGGTTTTAAATTGAGCCAAATTTATTTAATTATTTTAAATTTTTAATCGATGTTTTGTCTTGTGTTTTTAAATAGGCTGTACACCACCCTGAGTCCTTCGGGAGAAGGGCGGTATAGAAATAAAATATTATTATTATTATTATTATTATTATTATTATTATTATTATTATTATTATTATTATTGAGGGCCACATCAGGGTTGTGTTTGAGCTCTGGGGGCCATGGTGGGCGTGGCCAGGTCGACATCACTCGTATCCGGGGCGCCTGTGGTGGCCTGAGTGCTCTGCTAGTGAAAACGGGCTCTCGAGATTTGTTTCTGGCTGCAACAGCCACCTGAAACCCTCTGCCAGGGAAAATGGAGCTTGGGGGAGATGGGGTTGCATGCGGTCCTCCCGAGCTCCATTTTCACTGGCAGAAGCACTGCAGACCTGTCTTTCACTGTTTCCAGGGCAGCGCAGCAGGCCGGATCTAAGCACCCCATGGGCCAGTTCCGGCCCTCAGGCCTTGAGTTTGACACCTCTGTGTTAATCCTATGGTCCTCCTCCCGTTTGTGGCTGTCATATGTAAGCTGGAATCCCTCAACTCACAATAACCAGATTAATAAGAATGATGTGGAATGTGGGCCAGAAACACAGGAGGGAGGGGCTCTTTCCCAGGGAGCAAAGTGACAAAGAAACTTGGAATCTTTGGTATGCAGAAAGAGAAGGAAGGTAGGCTCTCCCTAAGCCATTCACAGGATATTTCTAGTAATTATGCAGTGCTTTAGCCTGGCAAGATTTTTGTCATAGGCGAGCAGCAGTAAAGAAACTGCTCTGAAGTAACTCTTTGTGTCGTTCTTGGTTCTTTGAACCGGACACACAGAGGTTCGGACCGGTTCAAGCGAATCGGTAGTGGAAATCAGAGGTGGGCCTGCCCACCTGCCCCGGCGCTATGCCGTCCTATTTAGCCATGTTTTTGAGGCCGGGCACATGCGTGGAAGGTGTGCGTGTGAGCAAAGCGCACGCGAGTAAAGCCGGGCACATGCGAGGAAGGTGCACATGTGGGGCAAACCGGTGGTAAAAATAAGTGAAACCCACCGCTGCAGACACGCAATCGATCTTTAGGACTAGGACTGTTGTCTGCAAGTACGTTTCTGCCTAAGTGTGCCATCTTGCCTATTCCTGGCTCTACAGGTAGTCCTCGACTTACAAAAGATCATTTAGTGACCATTCAAAGTGATGAGAACAGCACTGAAAAAAGGGACTTAGGACCATTTTTCACACTTATGACCGCTGCAGCACCCCCAGGGTCACATGATTTACAATTCGGATGCTTGACAAAGGACTCACAGTTATGACGGTTGCAATGTCCTGGGGGCGGTGGTGGGATTCAGCCAGTTCGAACCACTTCGGGAAAACCGGTTGTTAACTTTTTGAGCAGTTTGGTAAACTGGTTGTTGGAAGAAATCATTAGGGTAGAGAACCGGTTGTTAATTATTAGGGTAGAGAACCACAACTGTCTGGGGGTGGTGGTCATGTGATCCCGTTTTGCGACCTTCTAACAAGCGAAGCCAATGGGGGAAACCAGATTCACTTAACAATAGTGTTACTAATTTAACAGCTGCAAGTGATTCACTTAACACACACGGCAAGAAAATGTACTTGGTTAGTTGGTGAGCAGGAGTTATTTACCCAAAGCTGTCTTTTCAGTCCTTTTCCTGCTCTTATGGGACTAAAAGGTAATTACGCCAGCCTTCTCAGCTAGAGAATATGCAAGAATTCTTTTTTCTGTAGGTGGATTGTATAGGCAAATTATAGGAAGGTTACATCTATTATAATTGATGTCCAGCAAACCGTTGTCATCTGGGATGCATTGCACCACCTCAAAATTTGCACCACAGTAACAAATTTTAGATTTCACCACTGAAGTTACCACACACAGCAAGCATAGTTTCCATGAACTTGCCGATTGGTCCCACAGCATCATCTCTCAAATTATTTCCCTAAAGTTATCTTGATGATGTATACATATGCAAACTACCAATGTAGATTGATTTAGATTACCCTCTCAATTCAGGGCACACTATATCTTAGATGGAAAAATTTTCGTAACATGACATCTTAGAACGGCGAGAACTTTGTGATTTTAAGGTAAACAAATACATGTTCAGCCAAGGAAATTAAAAAAACCATTAAAAATATGAACGTAACTTTTGTTGACCTAGGAGAGGACTTAAAGTCTGGATGCTTTAATGTTCTGGACTTCCCTTGTTTGCAGCTGCTCATGGTCTTGAGAAGGAAGGAGTTTTGAAGAAAATTTAAGCCAAAGTTATGGTAATAGTTAAACCAATATTTAACTCTGCTAAATTCTGCGTAAGCAAGGCTACGTGGATTAAAGTTATGAATGCTCATCTATCATATTTCAAAGGTTGTCATGATGGAGTATATTCCCGTTTTAATATATTGATATCAGGCTGGAAAAACAAGTGACAAATTCTAATTTACGTTGCTTTTGTAGTTGAATGATAAATTCACACAATGACACATTGATATATAACCCAAATTGTCATTCATAGTTGTATCCATTTCTTCTCTACAGATACCGTAGGATGGTTTGGGAACTATAGATTGTCCA